AAGGTAAGTTTAGTTTAGCTACGTCCTCGTTCATACCATAACTGGTACCGCGAAGACCGAATAACAGTCCACCATGGATAACTAAAGCAGTCAGGAAACTTCTTTGAAAAATGAAGAGGAACTGGAATATGTTCATCTCTACTGGCTTAGAACAATACAGACCCAGTTATTTCATACAAATAGTTCCCTTTGTCCTTATGAAAACAGCAAGAACAAAGACTTTAGCAGAATAGCATGAGTTTATTTTATTTCGTAGGTTCTCGTCAGCTGCTTACAACCTGTGATATTTAAAAATCATCATAATTACATAATGGGTTTAATTGCTTACTGAATATTGTAAATATATACCTAATGTGGAAGAATATTCTACAAGATTACTTGTGACAACTGTTCAAAAGTGTGTTAGAAACAATTGATTACATAATGAATAAATATTGATAGGAATATAGTGAGTAGAGTTCAGTTGCAAGATTATTCATTTGAAAGATAGTTGAAAAAATAAAATAACATCAATGATGTAATAAATGCAAAGGAGAGAAAAAAGGAAAAAAAGATTTTAAGGTGCAGTGAAGGAATATTTGTCACCAGGGCAAGGAAAGATTAACCACCGTCTTCTTTTGAATACATAGGTCAGGTTTTTGACGCCTGATAGCAATGGCTTCAGCAAACTTCAGAAGACTGGAGTTTGGTTGCTTACTAATCACCCTAAAGGATTGTAAGGTATCTACCTGATGTCCTGTAACAAGGAGATGTTTGGTGATTGCACTGTTCAGAGTCTTTCTTTCCCTTGTTCTAAGACTTTTTGGAACATGTTCAAAAAATCTAAGATATGCTCTCCTTTCAGTTCGAACGATGTAGCTGCTTTGGCAGGTACGCGTAGATTTATAAATACAGTTGGCGATAACATGAAAGGGTTGCTTGTCGATCTTTGATTGGGTTATTGAACATGTTGTTTTATAGAGAGTTAAAAGTTTAGCGGCTGGATACGTTCTGGCTAGAGCAGTGTTCAGTTTCCTGTTGATTATTTGTGCGACGTTATCACCTTTAAAGTTAAGATTCATATATACTGGCTTTTTATTGACCGTAGTTATTTCCGTCTTGTTTTCTTTGGGCTTTTTATATTTGTTAATAAACCTTTGTGGATAAAAGTTGTGTTTTAGACATTTTTCTGCGTTCACTAATTCTTCTTCCAGTTTGTCGTTGATACATATCTTTTCAACCCTGTAAAATAGTGTTCTAACCAATGCCTTCTTGTAACTAATTGGACAAAAACTATTGAAATTCAGGTAGAGGCCATTCTAATTACTTTTTCTATAAACTGAACTTTGGAATACCTCGTCTCCCCTGCGTTTTATGGCAACATCAAGAAAGTGGAACATGTCGTTCTGTTCGTGCTCCATAAGGAAATGTATGTTAGTGTGAGCGTTATTGAAAAGTTTCAGCAGGCAGATTGCATGCTGTTTATTGTTACAGATAATAAATGTGTCGTCCACATATCTGGAGTATTCAGTTATTTCACTAATTGCCTGCTTAAGTACCGTGTTTTCAAGATACCCCATAAAAATATCTGCCATAATTGGACCTAGTGGGCTTCCCATTGCCACGCCATCGATTTGGCGATATATGGTGTTATTGAACTGGAATTGAACATCTGTTGTGCACATCAGTAGTAGTTTTTTTAAATTCTGGGGCTGGTAAAGGTAGGAGATCATCATTCTGACAAATTATATCATTAGTTTCAAAAAGTGGTATATTGGTAAACAAGGATGTTACATCAAAAGAGACCATGAACTTATCGGTAACATTCGTATGATTTAGTCTATCAGCAAACTCGAATAAACCGCTTAGCGTATATTTTGCTAATCTACGACGAACCGTTTCTAGTTTTGCTGCTAACCAGCATGCAACTTTATGATACGGTGAGTTGATCATTGATAGGATAGGTCTAAGGGGAACGTCATGTTTGTGAACTTTTGGTAAACCATACATATGAGGTAGACGTAAACCACGTGATCTTATATCGTTATAAGTTGAATTATCAATCATTTTCTCTTTTAGGAGTTCTCTGAGCATGTCTGTGATTCGTTTTTCTGTTGAATCAGTCAAATCTTTTTTGGATTTATCTATCTTGAACCTCAGTCGATCGTCTAGGGTTGACTTCATCTTAGCGACATAATCAGCTGTATTCATTAGGACGACACCTGAACCCTTTTCCGGTTGTAAAATCATCACCTCATTATTTTGCTTGATGTTTCTTAGGGCTATTAGATGTTCTTTGGATAGAATATTCGACTTTGGTGTCGATGAAACGAAGTATTGGTTGGCAATATCAACTAACTTTGATTTGAACCATCTTTTCTTTTCTTCATTCATTGGCTTCAAATCTTTTAACTGGTCAAACAGATTTTCGAATTGAACTTCTGTATCAATCCTGTCAGTATTTGTTTTTGGTATATGAAATTTGAGTCCCAGTGATAAGGCTTCTGTTTCTATGCCGTTATGCTTCGTATTTGATAAGTTATAGATAAACTTCGAATTTAGAAATTTACGTGTACTTGCCAAAGCAGCTACATCGTTCGAACTGAAAGGAGAGCATATCTTAGATTTTTTGAACATGTTCCAAAAAGTCTTAGAACAAGGGAAAGAAAGACTCTGAACAGTGCAATCACCAAACATCTCCTTGTTACAGGACATCAGGTAGATACCTTACAATCCTTTAGGGTGATTAGTAAGCAACCAAACTCCAGTCTTCTGAAGTTTGCTGAAGCCATTGCTATCAGGCGTCAAAAACCTGACCTATGTATTCAAAAGAAGACGGTGGTTAATCTTTCCTTGCCCTGGTGACAAATATTCCTTCACTGCACCTTAAAATCTTTTTTTCCTTTTTTCTCTCCTTTGCATTTATTACATCATTGATGTTATTTTATTTTTTCAACTATCTTTCAAATGAATAATCTTGCAACTGAACTCTACTCACTATATTCCTATCAATATTTATTCATTATGTAATCAATTGTTTCTAACACACTTTTGAACAGTTGTCACAAGTAATCTTGTAGAATATTCTTCCACATTAGGTATATATTTACAATATTCAGTAAGCAATTAAACCCATTATGTAATTATGATGATTTTTAAATATCACAGGTTGTAAGCAGCTGACGAGAACCTACGAAATAAAATAAATTCATGCTATTCTGCTAAGATCCAGTTATTGTAAGATTAGGAATGCCTGTAAAGCGTTAATAAGTAAGACTAGACGATCATATGAAAACAATTGGTTAGGGATTCTAGATATAGTCCAAAACGGTTATTCTCGTATATAAAAATGCAAACTCAGAAAAGCTATGGAATTCCATCACTTGATACAAGAAAATCCGGTAATCCTGACAGAAAGTGATACCTTAAAAGCTGAAGCTTTATCGGAATATTTCAGTAAAGTGTTTTCTATCAGTAATTAGGAACCACCAACAATTCACTGTGATCATGGAGGCTCGCTGATGGACCCTGTACTCATTGAGAAAGGTACTGTTTCAAGGCTACCTTAGCATCTCAAACCTGATAAGTCTAGTGGTCCTGATGATATTCATCTAGGATTATGAAAGCCATATCAGATTTAATTGCTGAACCACTAGCGATACAGTTCAACATGTCTCTGAGGCAATCCAGACTGCTCAGAGACTGGAAAGACGCTATAATAAGTCCGGTTTATAAGGCTAGGAGTAGAGATTTAGTTTGTAACTATAATCCCGTTAGCTTAACTAGTGCAGTTGTAAAACTGGTGGGAAAAATCATTCGGATATCTTTTATAAACTATGTTGAAGGGCATAATTTTTTCTCCAGAGAGCAACATGGTTTTCGGAGAGGCCTATCATGCTTGACAAATCTCATTGCAAGAGAAGGTTGGGCTGCCACAAAAGATCGGAATATTCCTGTGGATGTAATCTTCATAGATCTAAGTAAGGCCTTCGATAAGGTCTCCCACTGCGGTCTTAAATTCAGACTGGAACGTTTTAGAATCCATCATACAGTCGTAAATTCGATAAGTAGCTTTCTCCATGACAGGAGACAAAGGGTAAGGGCAAATGGGGCTCTCCTCGTGGGTACCTGTAGAAAGTGGAGTTCCCCAAGGTACAATCCTCTGTCATCTTCTCTTTTTACTTTATGTAAATGAATTCCCTGCAAAATCACCCATTCTACTCTTCGCTGATGACATAAAAATTTGTAGACCCATATACAATATGTCGGATAGGATAGTATTACAGAATGATCTTAGCTCATTGGTGGCATGGTTGGACAGGTGGTCTCCAGAAGTAAATCCTAATAAGAGTGTGGTGATGCAATTAAATAACTATGATGAATCGCATCACTATACAATATGTGGATTCGTGCTACCCAAAGTAAGAAACTATAAAGATTTAGGAGTCATACTAAGCAGTGATCTCAAAATCACTAATCACTGTAAAGCTGCTGCTGCGAAAGTCTATAGGGCATTATGGTCTATTCGTAAGTCTTTCCAGTATTTAAATGATGAAATGTTTAGATTATTATACTCTATGTGCGACCACATTTAGAATATGGGATTCAAGCAGCGAGTCCTTGTTTCAAGTATGTAGCAGATATGCTGGAAAGAGTCCAACGACGAGGTACTAAGATGGTACAAGTTCTATCTGGCCTATCTTATGGAGACAGACTGAGACACCTTAACTTATTTCCGTTATCTTACCGTAGAATAAGGGGTGATCTAATATTGGCTTATCGTATACTGAACGATGACTTTGGTATTAACATGTCTTATCTTTTGCTTCCATCTAGAACTGATCATTTGAGAGGACATTCGAAGAAAGTTCAAAGACCGAGATCAAATTGTTTACGTCTGGAGTTTCGTTTCTCACACCGAGTAGTGAATTACTGGAATGCTCTACCGGAACACGTAATATCAGCACTTTCTCTTGATATATTCAAAACGAGATTGGACCTCCACAGTATTATAAACTGCAAGGATTAATATAGGTCGATAGACCTCCTATCCTTATTACTAAAGGCTGATTTAGTTTTCTGTAGTTTTTTCATCTCCTAAAGTTTAATACTGTAGTCAATTCATGTCCTAGTAAATGCACACAATTTAAAATGCAGTATATTCTCTGCACGTATTCACTGTAATTTTTAAGACCAGTGCATATCACAAAATTGATTTTTACCCTGAAAAAGTCCAGACAGGTTAGCTGGACGAAACGTTGGGATTATTTAAATTTAAATCGCTGAGATTATTTCAAATATAATTTTTACATATATTAATATTTGTATTGCTTCTCTGCAGGTACTTTTCTTTTGGTTGAGTTTTAATAATGACCGAACGCAAAGTCCTAAATGTAAGTTAGTTAAGATTACACTGGTGACTATAAATTATAGAAATATTTCCCTCCAGACTATGATCCTTCAAAAATACCTCGTCTTAGAAGAGGCGATCGACGTAAACAGTTTAATATTAGAACAATGGCTCCATTTAATATGAGGTAACTTTGTTTACTGTAATATCACTAGCATCAGGTGCAATACGTGCAATGGTTATATATACAAAGCTAAAAAATTCAATTCGCGAATGGAAACTGCAGAAAATGTAGATTACTTGGGCCTAAGACACTATCGGTTTTACATCCGATGTCCTTTGTGCTGTGCTGAGATTATCTGGCGTGTAAGCTCTCTGAGTTTCATTTTTTACGTCAACTGTTGTTCATAGACTGATTTAGAAAGTGGTGATTACGTCCTAGAAAGTGGGGCTAAAAGAAACTTCGAAGCGTTAAAAACGGCTGAAGAACTGGAAGCTAAACGTCAAGCTGAAGAGGAAGAGGAACTTGCTAACAACCCAATGAAATTATTGGAAAAGAGAACTGATCAAAGCAAACAAGAGATGGAAATGGTCGAAGTAATCGAAGACTTGAAACAGTTAAATCAACGTCAAGCCACCATGGAAGCAGATCATGTTCTTTTGAGGCAAATGTGGCGAGAAGAAGAAGCTGTCAAGGAGGCTGAAAAAGAAGCAGATGATGCACTAATAAAGTAGACAACTTTCTTGCCGTCTAATTTTATTTCCAAAGGGAATTACTTGCTTCAAAATCCGAGCAAGTCCACTCATTACCATTGGAGCCTGGAGGTGAAAATTCCTCTAAGCCGATCAGAATACCAGGTTCATGACGTTATATCTAATTGTTTATTTTTTTCTAGCCTTGAAAGATTTGATGAAAGTCAATAGAAAGGAACCAGTAGAAGTGAGTAGAATACATTTTAATGATCTACAAAAGTTTTTTCCCAAGTTTTATAATCGTTCCGTTTCGTCGCCGAATCATATTTTTCGCTAGATCTAGTCAATTTACGTTGTAAGTGGTAACGAGAAAATATCAGGACTGCTGTAAGTGCTGGCTACTTGGAGTTAGTGCTAGAACGGATGCCTTTTGTTGCTCAACTTACTGTGTATTAAAAATGTTAACTTTACGTTTGTCGTCGTTCTTGTTGTTCCCTAAATAATTTTCTGATTGTTCAACTAGCCCAACACCAACACGTAGCTTAGACAATTTTTTTCTAATCTTCACTTGATAAAGTGATATTAATTATATTTTTTTAACATCGTAAGTGCACAAACTGATATGGTTTTGGTTCGATTTTTTACCAGACACTTCTTTTCACACCAGTAATAATGGGTTGCTATGTTAACGTTCCTTCGTTAATAATTAAATAGATTAAAATTGAACTTTATGGAAGTTTGTCATACATTCAAACTTTAGGTACTTCTGACCATGTTTCTTGATGTTTTTTAAACTAAATTCCTAGTCAACATCAGGGTTCAAAATTGATTTTTCTCTTAACTCTAAGAAAACTGTGTAAGGGGCATTATGTGCCATTGTACAGTTTCACTAGTTGCTTTGTAATCTTCATTTACATCCTTGCATAATTATCTTACAATTAATTTATAGTCATACTGTCTTGTTTTAATAATATGTATATAAATTATAATTGTAACCATTCAATAAATATCCAATTAGTTAGCCAGATATTCTCTCTCTCTTGATAACTATCCATTTATTATTCAGGTTTGTTAGTAGTGGTATGTAGATGGGATAATTTTAAACCCGAATGTTCAAAGTTTGCTTTACTGTTTACAGAATGGTTTGTATCACGGAAATTGTTTATAGCTGTTTCAGGATGTGCGACCTAAATATGTAGTAATTATGGTAATGAGAATAGTATGGTCAGAAAAGTAAGTGTCAAGTGCATGTTAGCACCATGGGTTTTGCTTTCTAAAGTTACCTGAAGTGTATATCAGACTCATTTAGACTACAATATTAATAATCCAAAGTAAAATAACCAATAAATATATCGGCTTCGCTCTGACCGATTCAAGGCCATGTCAGGTAGGGTTTCCAACCATAAATTACGGTTATCGCCGGCGACCCTACTGGGCAGTTTTCACCTCAGTGCATCTCAAATCAGTAGTGACGTTATTGTCTGGTGCCAATCAATATTTGTAGTGTTCATGTACCAAATCTCTCGAATGTAAACGCACAAACGTACTATTGATTAATGAGTCCAATCAGCTCGTCTTAACTTGTTATCTATCACATGCTAAACCTTTTTGACTCAAATGTCATTTAGCCGTATATGTGCTTATACTTTTATCACATACAGTTTGAAGTAAAATGTATCTTGAAATATACTGGTTTACTTATGCTTACGAAACTGTGCAACCCTCATTTGCTTCCCTTTAAACCAACCAGATATCGTCAAATGTTTGATTGTACGCTGGACTTTAGCACTAGATCATACATTACTCATACCCTGTGATCACAGTGAATTATAAGAACTAGTTTCCCTGACTTGGGATCGCGTAACAACAAGAAAAATTGTCACATATACCTGTATCTATTATTTAGTTACTATTTTCTTGACTGTTCGTTACAATACCTAGTCCTCTAATATTCATGATTTCTACTTTTTCATAGATTGGGAAATCTTATCTAAAGCGACAACTTCAAGGTGTTTTACGGGTGCAAAAGAGGTCAGTATCAGAAACTAAAATTCCAAAGCTTGATGATGATTTTAAAGCATCGACCATGAATAACATAAATGTTTCAAATCCCTCAACGAATAATTCGTTAACAAATGATAAATCAAAAGATAGTAATGTTAATCAACAGGTGTCATGTACCAGTAATGATAATAATGATAATACTCAGCCGTGTCAACCATTACCTGGAATGGTTTATTCAGACCATAGTGATAGTGATTGAGAGAGGAAAAGGATAGCTGTAAATAACTGATACACCTATCATCTTGTACAGTTTTAATGAATTTTTAAAAAGCTTTTTTGAAATGCTGTGACGTTTTTCTTCTTTGAGCTATTTTGAAGTATTTCTACTAATAATTCTAACGATTTCCTTCAAAATGATCCTCTTTAGTTACATATCACATTATCTAAAGAATAAAACACTTATATTTTAATAACCGAAGTGGGTTAAGTACAGGCTTAGGTGCAGCATTAAGTTCGAAAACGAAGGAGTCACTTAAAGAATTCCATGTGAAGTGTTTTGCCGAACGAACCTACAAAAGTTCGAAAAGTAAAGACAGTACCACTCTTAGAAAGCAATAATTGGGTTAGTTTTTCCGAAACTATCCAGCTCCATCCAAAATACCTCTTTAAATGTGGTTATTTTAGTTTATTTAAACATGTAAACGTTGGTACAAATAGACGCCAAAATATTTATGTGCAACATAAAATAGTTGTATGGACTCGGATATTGTTCAGCTGCCCAAACCGAAATAAGTGGTTTTCTTCGAGGACAACGACTTGAAATTTACAAGGCAGTGAAGCAACGTTAGGAGATTTGGTCCCATGGTAGTTGGTGACCGAAAATAAGTTCATACTACATTTGTTCCCTCAGAATTCTGGAGCCCATGTGCGATACTGGTTTTAAATCAGGGTTTTCCAATAACCTTTAGTGGATCCTCCGTACCCACCAACATGAATAAAGCGCCGAACTTTCGCTTTTCGTCCCCTAAATTACTTAAACAGCAGCTCTGCCTAGAGAAGGAAGTGATTAAAACTTCCCTGATAGTGGCTATATACACATGGCCATATGAGGACATTTCGAGAGTGAAAGACGGTTCTCCTCACTCTCATCCGTACAAGGACATTTAGGGGCAGAATTGTAGAGAGTCACTTGATCCCGAAGTAGTTGAGCTCAGCCAGGAAGGAATATACCTAATCCCTGTGCACAGACAACAGGTACTGCCAACTACAAGTGTTTTCTGAAAACTGATCATTCAAAATAATAACAGGAAGAATACATTAGAATGGTTGACCTATCAGTCACATTTGTTTATGGCTAATAAGGTGATACAGAATTTTTGTTTGTCCTCATTCTTGCCTTATCATTTGGGTATACCTATAACCTAGAATTGTTGTCTCCAGTGAAACTCAAGTTCAGCATTGTTCAAATATTGAATATTAGCAGATCATCTTGATATAAGTACCAGTTGTTATTACAATTTAAGAATTAAATAATCAGTTTTATTTTTGATTTTCGCACTACTTTTGCATTAATCTTGATATTCATTTAGCAATTATTCATAAAAGTAAAACCTATGAACTGGAATAATAAAACTAAACAGAAAGATTAGTTATTTTCGCCCATTCTATTGTATTTCATTAAGTAAATAAATATTTGATATTTGTACATGTAGTTTCTGTAAGATAAAATAAGCAATCACATTCTGTAGATTCCAGTAATTCAGTGTAATCAAATATTCCGATTGTTAACGTGATATTATTCTTCATCTATTTCATCACCATTCTGATCGTTCATCTAAATGAAAAATTGAGTATAAATGTGGAAAATCTTAATGTGTATACAATAGTACAGTATCATAAATCTCAGATTACAATTGTTGTGTTTTATTTCATACCCCTTCTTTTGAGGTATATGTTGAAATATATTTTTCTTACCCTAGTACTCCCCATATTTACTCATGTGAGTCACTACGTTCTCATGTGCTTCTGGTGGAGCAGTGGTTTTAAGACTGTAGATTTAAACAGTGTTCCACGTGCTTCAATTTGGAGTGAACAGGTTATTATTAGTAACCCTCATACAAACAGTATGACTCAAAACCAAGTAAATGAGCCTGTACTTTGTAAATTAGTAATATCACGCATATTTTTTCAGACTTCGGGAATATTCAGTTGGTGGTATGCATAGTTACTAAAAACTATCACATTTGTTTTATCTCATGGGAAACCAAATAATAGATCTCTTGTTTTGCTAGAATTATATTGGCTTGTAAGTAGTTGACAATAACCCATGGAATCCGTCAATCTTTTATTTACTGTAATTGTTGTTTCTATGTCAATTAGTTTTGCGATGGGATGAAAATTATATAGATCCTTTATTATTTCTCAGTAGCTTAACTAATATAGGCCAGACAAATTGTAGATAATAGTGGGATTCAATTCACATGTTTTGTCCTACTTTCAGCTCATCGGTTGGATGTGCCTGTATTCCACTCTTGATGTGTACCCAGTGTCTTATCCACTGATTTCCTCCATCAAAATAGTCACTAACAATGGGATACAGTTGAAGAGTCCCAACTAGTGCTATATGGCTTCTCAAATTCCGCTGCCGGCCACAGGCCATCTAGTTTATAAAAGTTGCCACAAAAGGATTATACTGAGGTAGTGTACGCGGCATGCCGACTATGACTAATCGAAATTCAGTCAAAGTACTAACAGTAGGATAGTTCTAACCCAATCTGATAATGCAATGAACCTCACTAATAGTTTTCGTCATTTACTAGCACTGAATACTTAACCATAGTATATTAATATTAGAGCTAATAACATTTACTCAATTAACTCCTAAAATAGGGTTCACAGGGTAAACTGGTGAAAAATTTGAAGTCGAAATGACAAATTCACTTAATATTCATTACAAGTTTCAGTAGTTTGTAAAGGAAGAGTTAGATGCATGTAACTAAACAGTCAAATAATTGTTTGAGGGCTTTGTAATTAAAATAAGCTAGAATTCACTGAAAACATAACAGTCCGCACCTGCGATTCGGTTCAACAACCAAACATACTCCTATTGCTTGGCTAGCCCAGCTATACAGATTGAAAAGACAAGAATACATCGAAGATCGTGTCTCTAGAGGACTTGTGTAAGTATTAATAACACGAATATTTATAGGTAAATGAACTGACTTATACAGAGACATATTTGGGATTAACCTGGCGAGGGGAGTAATCTTACTTGCTAAGGTGCGCCCACGATACGTAATGTAGAATTGTGGTTTGCTCGGTCTGTTAAACCTTTATTGGTTCGTGCTACTATACCTTCCAGTATAATGATTCTTGTTGATATTACATAGCCATGATTTCAATATAAATAAGATCAAAGTAGTGACAAGTATTATGTTTGTTTTACTCGTCACTTTTATATCCAATGTTATAAGTTGCTCTAGATTGTCTATCATACCACTTATTGATAGATGTCGAATAATTTATGGTCTTGAATTTGCAAAGTACGAGAGTATCACTTATTGTTAACTTATCTTCTGTAAAACATATTTGATAGCCTAAATTATATATAATAATGAATAATTACTTAAAGATTAGCTGTCACTCTTAGTATAATTTACTTCATAAATTACAACACTTTACGTGAATCAGTCATATCAAATAATGTAATAAGTAGTAGTAGTAGTAGTAGTAGTAGTAGTAGTAGTAATAGTATGAAAATTTATGCCTTAAAGCGTTGCGATTAATTTGGTTACAAAACTTTCACTATAAAGCATGCATAAACATTAGATTAGACTAATTCAACAAACTCTCACTTCGCTATTCGGTTCATCTTTCTCCCCTTCCACCTGTATTTCACCTTCATCATTTACGTCATCCTTTTCAGTTTGTTCTTCTTCGTCGTCTTCTTCTCCTGGTTCTTTATCAAAAGAAGATTCAATGATATTTTCAATTTTGTTATCTTCGGTAAGCTCATCACTTGGTTCTGGTTGGTCTGATTGACCTGTTAAAGCCGCACCTGCTTCTTGCATCAACGCCATTTCAGCGGCCATTAGTTCTAATTGCCGATATTCATGGTGTCTTTCCTGAACAACCTAAATAATAATTAATCGATTTGATAATGTAAATTATATGAAATCTTATTGTAGACTTTCTGAACTAGTGTGGGTTGTTATATTCCTAATTAGTAACTCTATAGTACATTATTACCAGATAGTCTGAATTTCGTTGGTGGGCACTTCTAGTGAGTTAATGAATTAGAGTAGATAAGAGGTCCAGCCCTTCATGCTTTCTAAATCAATATCAGCTGAAAAAAACGTTTAGTAATTCTATTTGTGTATATTTTTATCAAGGGGGCCTACTAGCATAGACTCATTTTCCAATCAGGAGGATAAATTTCTTCTATAAACCAAATGTAAACATTCGAGAAAATCAATTTATAAGGAAGAGCTTAAGATCATAAAACTTACTTCTCTAATCATTCCATCTAATAATAAACAAGCATCATTCCATAATTCAAGTTCTTCATCGATTTGTTCCATAAGCCAAGGTAAAAATCCTTCTTCAATATCTACAAAAACGAAACAAATTGATAGGCAAAATAATTGTAACGAGTAAAAGATTTATGAATATTTTATCCAGTTGTCATTTATTATATCTGAAATGATTACATTCACCATTTAAACCACACTCACTAATTTTCTAGACGTCCAACTCTTAGTTTTTAATCCTGGGGATAAGTTGGAAGAAAATGGTTCCATGCCATGTGTATTACTGGACACAGTATAGTATATTATTAGTATCATATATATTTTTAGAATTATTTAGCGAGATATCAAAAACCAAGGAAAACTCAGTAGCTATTGTGTGACAGTTTCAAGAGCGAATCCTCATCTCTTGGAGCCGTCTAAGTGATTTCCAGTCCACTTTGTTTTAATTCGTATATCGAAATAAAATAAGCTCGAAGTTTTGAAAAAAAAAACTAAGCATCTCAAACGACTGAAGTGATCAACGTATAAAATGGCGATCTCATGTTCGATTAAATTTGTTTACCCCATTTGTAGTTCCCTTAAAATACTCGTTTATGAAATGAATTTTTCACATAAACACTTGAAATGACATTTGAAGTAAACTTATAATTCAGAGATTAAAATAATTATCTCCCAATCCTATTTTTTAACTGAGAAGAAATTCGACTCTTTTAAACAGTTTGGTTCATTGCTTAAAATGATGAATGTTAGTGGCTTCAACTCGGCAATTATTATTCTTGACTTTTTTTTAATCATCTTCCCTTCGTTTTTTCCCATCCGATAATTTTTGTGTGCTATGCTGTACTACTTAATATTATCCAGTAATCACTTTTATTTTCTATCAATTTCCATCAGTCATATCTATTGTTG